CGCCGCTCACAGTTAGTAGCAGGGTGTTGGTCGGCTCAATAATAATTGTTGCCTTGTTCCTCGCGTTCCAATCGACTCAATACGTGCTTTCCAAACGTAAAGCGCTTCAAATAATCCTCGTTGTGGCGAATTATACATACAATGCGATGGCGGTCGTGGTCATCAACACGCTCCAACAGTTTTTGAACCACGTAATTGCCGTACATGTGTTTCATCATTGGAAGTAGCGCACAAGACGCGCCGCTTTCGTCACACTGCAGAATAAAAGTGACGATTTGACAGATCTCCTCTTTCGTTGCGTGTTCCAAACAGGACTCGACGACATTGCTGGCATACTTATGCTGGCTCCAGCGAGCAATTTCGGGAAGTATTACTTGCATGACAGTGTCACGCTGGTTCTGCTCACCATGGCTGATGACGTGCTGCACAACATAATTTCCAAACTGATCTTTCACAAGGTCGCGGCATTTGTATATAATTTCATCAAGGAGCGGGCGAATTTGAACCGGTGCACAATGTTCAAGTACGCGTTGAATCACGCGGCAGCCATACGAATGTGTCGAGAGGCCTGCTGCTTGGCCGACGAAGCTGTCAATGATAAACTGGATGTCATCCCCTGTTACTAAACGCTGCGGCATCATTCTGTTACAATCAGATGCTCTCTTCCAAGACGCCGCTTCGATACACTTCTGAAGAACGTGATTACCATTCTGATCAACTGCACATTTCATGACATGCCCCTTCAGCTGTCGAATCAATGCTAGCTGCTCATCAACGTGTGTCACCTCCAATGCACGCTGAATAACGCGACAACCATATACTTGTAGAGCCAAACTGATCATGTTGCTTGTCATCAGTTCCACCAACAATTGTTGCTGCTCGAGTGAGCCATACTCTAAAAACTTTTGAATTACATAATTACCAAATACATCCGTCATCAGAAAGAGCGAGTTGGGAAAGATCTCATTAAACGCATCAGCCTTTAAACGATCGTCAGCCTTTTCCAATTTTTGTTGAATAAATCGTGAGCCTGTCTGATCCTTTGCGAAGATAAAGAGATGCCCTTTGATGGCAGACAGTCCCCATTTCTCCGATTTAGGTGCCGAGTTAAACTCCTCCAGAAGATTATTCGACGAATACGAATGGGCAATCGGATGGAAATATTCGAATTCATCTCGTTTGTATGCTCCGACCTTTGGTCGTTGTAGCATCTGTGGACGAGGTATGCATCCTCCGAAGTTGTGGCGCTCGAAAAGTGTATGATCGGTCGTGAGATACGATGAGCGAGCCATAAACATCTTGTTGACAGGCTTTGTATTATGGTACTCTCCAGCATACCCAGCGGGATGAGTGGGTATGGCTGAAGGGTGCATACTTGCAAAGTCCGACGGTGCAAAGCCAAAAGGAGAGGCTGGGAATAAATATGCATCTTCGCTGGCAGCCCACCGCAATTTATTAGCCATTGGGTAGCCTTGAACACCGTAAGCGTCAGATGCATAAGGAGCCGAATACCCTTGGGCAACCATATCTTGAAAAGACCCACCAAAAACAGGCTCACTAGAACTTCTGCCAAACGCATGAAGATGGCAAGTCATTCCATTAAGTCTAGGGCCAGTCGTGTGCTGCGCCGTCTGAGGCATATTATCAAAACTCTGTTTGCCAAATGACGATGCTGAATGGTAGTTGCCAATTTTAAGCTGCTCGATCTCCTCATCAACGCCAAGCACCGACTGCGTGTGATAGTTTCGTCCACCAAATGAAGGTTTGCAGGTAGAGAAATCGTCAAGTCTGTATTGACCGTATTCGGGGGAGGGCGTGCGGGGAAAATCCTCTTGTATGCGGTCAATCAAGGACATTCCAGGAGGAGCCCTACACGTAGCAACCTTGCTGTCACCTAAAGATAATCTTCTAGGAATAGCGCAAGGTATGTTTGCGGAAGGGAAATTCTGGCCCACGGGCGAATTGCTGGAACTTTCGTTTGAAGTGAAGTCACTTTCCTCAAAACCATTATGGGGATTTGTCCAGATATTAACAGAGTGATTCTCACCACTTCGGGACAGTGAATCAATTTCCCGATCTTGATGCTGTATAGCAAGTAGATGAAAGAATTATAACCATTACGACTGCAAAATCCATACACGATCAAACGAACCAAATTGAGCGACAGTCCACTCGGCTCCACCACTTGATTATCTACTAGCTGATCTTCCTTAACATGCGAACAAATAACCACGTTAATGTTAAAGCCACTTTTTAGTTCTCATTGTCAAATTAAAGGAAAAAAAAAGAAACACATACCTTGCTCAACAGTTTTCTAGACCAAGCCCTTTCAGATGTAACATTGTGCTGGTTTTCAACTTCATTTTGATTGCTCACGGCTGCCTCACCTTCATTTAATTCATTTGGAAAAGCGGTCTGAGCACTACGCACGGCGCACGATCCTACCTGAGGCTGCGGCCGTGGGGCACGTAGTGCAAAGTTTGCTGATCGATCACTTAGCGCTGGAGAGGCAGAGTATAGCAGTGAGGAGCGATTCTTCAGGCCTACTGAGGACCAAAGCGCATCCGATGAGTATCCAATGGGATCCTGCAGCTTCACGCGCACTGGTTCGACGGGATTGTCGTGATGAACATGCTTCTCTAGTGCTGCAAAAGCACGGCTGGTGGCATGCTGTGGCGACATAATCGAGAGAGCACGACTATCGCTCTTTGCGGGGCTCATCGAGTTACTGTGACCCATTGAAACAGGACTAGCTAGCTGGTAGTCAAGTGTAGCAATGATACCGCAGATCATGCAGTCGTCCACTTGCGTGGATGGCGGCAAATTGGATAATGAAGTTGGTGCGCGTGCGGGCGGGTAGGCCAGGGGTTATTTTAACGAAACGGGCTCTGTGACAGGTTGCACGTTCACTCATGAGCCTGAGGACCCGTTGATACCGGGTGGGCAAAAGACAGAAACCTCAACGAAGGCGAGGGTGGGGTAAGCAAGTATCGACCCTTTTTCTTTTGTGAGCAAATTGCAATAAAACGCTAATCATCAACGGGCGCGGCACGTCTGAGATGGCGAGTGTGTAATACAACCACACAAAACTAAGCAAATATGGGCTATGTGGCTGCGGTAAATCACAGGTTGTTGATCGAATTTACGGATCGTGTCGTCATGCATGCGGTTCACCGCCGAAGGCCGTTATCAAATAATGAAGGTTGCCTTTCACAGAAAAATCCGGAGTACGCATGTGTCGAGGCCTGATGTGACTTGACTGACGCGGTCGTTAACCGACTGGGGTTTCCTCGGGTCGGAAGAATGCATGCGTTATGCTAACGGCAAAGTTGAAGCGACGCGGGACAGCCTGGGGTCTCAGAAAGGACATTGACAATCACTCAGACAAAGAGCAAGTTGCTGTAGCCACTTGGAAACGACACGTCTTGGTGACAGGCAAAGGACGGGATCACAACACGGCGGTCGGCCAGCGGATTGCCGCTGCCAGACCTGCGAAAGTGTCGAAACATACTGGCTAGATGGTGATGGTGGCTCCATCGCTTCAATCGTGAAAACAATCGAACTTTCGATTAGCGAGAAATCTATTTTCTTAGGCAACTTTTAATTTGTTCAGGTCGCGCAGCAAAAGAAATTGTCTCTTCCCTTTCGCTTTAGATACTGCCTCGAAGCAACAATTTAAAAGTAATGGAAACTTTGAGTCAAAGTGTATAGCTCACGAAATTACGTTGGTACTCAAGCGAATGGGCGAGAGTTTATTTGTGCAAACCCTTTCCCAGTCACGCCGAAGACAGCAACACAGTCACTCGAAAGAGAGCCAGCACCTAAATTTGAAGTGACAACTTCAGCTTACGAGTTCTTTTGCTTCAATGAGAGCAGAGTCAATGCTGCAAATCCCGCTGTCACTACCGAAACCGTGGCCAAGACGTGTGAAGTCAAGTACCATGGTTTAATTTGGTCTTTACTAATGACTGAAGGCTTGTGCTGGCGCTTCTTCGTCTTGCGCTTGAAAATGGATTTATCATCACTATTACTTTCAGCCTTGGTTGTCGTGGTTTTCATAGTTGACGGCGACGCTTCAAGATTATCAAAGATGCCACCCCACGCCTTCATCTCGTCACGCTTCTGTTTATCCACCAATTTGTTCACCTTGTCCAGTAGCGTGCGACACAATTTATCTTGCGGGTTTAACCTTACGGCTAGCAGCAGATCTTGCTTAGCATCTACGTATTTTTCAAGCTTAACGCACGCTTGAGCGCGGCGAAAACGCGCTTTGGATGGCCAGTCCTCGAAAAGAAGCTGCTCTGACATGCCCAGACGCCCCATCCACGTGACAACGTTGCCCTCGCGGTTATCCGCTAGCACCGTAAGTATGCTTAAGGCGTTGGTGCAGGCAATCTCAGCATCTGCGTACATGTTCAGCTTCAGCTTGCTCGCACCAATGTTCAGGTGACAGCGAATCATGGTCTGAATGATTGTCGCCTTCTCTTTATGCGTGGCATTGTCTTGATCAACGCGCTGTAGAAATCCTAGTGAGCGCAAGTAGCTGTACACGGCGTCCTGCAGCTTTGCCTCACGGAATTTTTCGTTGCCTGCGTCCGCAAACCGAACAGCCTCGTTAATCAGATCTTTTGTCGACATTTCTGCTACTTCTTTTGATGGCAACTTCACGTCTTTGCGCTGCATGTAAAGGTTAGCATAGTCGGTTTTGACAACTAACACATCGTCAAAGGGACGGATTTCCTTCAACACACCCAAACCATACGGGGTCAATACCTGCGTATGCATTCGAAAGTGTGGCTCATCGGGCTCCTCACTCACAACATTCTGATGCAAGTAGGCAATAGTACGAGACCTTGCTGCGGCGTCTGTGTCCATTTGTACTACATACATTTTGGTTTCTGGTCGAAATGACACCGCAACTCCTCGTCCGAATGGAGTGATCACCCGAGTCTTGTCCGCCAGAGGCGTCACACTGACAGCGGCAGGGTGGTGAGCATGAATCTGAAATTTTTTGCCAGGCAGATATAGAGCGGCCCTTGCAGTTTCGTTTCCAAATGCTGCAGGATGTTTCAAAGGTGCATTCACAAGTCGCGCAGTTGTCTTGAATAGCTCGATGTCGTCATCAATCTCGCGTTTCTTTTGTCGAAGTAAATTGACTTGACGCTCATGACGCTCACGCATCGAATACTCGAGAGTCACGCGCATCAGCAGCTTCCCAATAACACCACTCGTCGCTGCTGTGACTGGTGCTGTCAAATCAAACCACTTTTCATGCGGCATCTGATCGGTGTAGTCGGCACTTCGCAGCTCCAGCTCCCCGAGGATCACATCAGCAATGACTTCAGCCTTGCAATTTAGAGAAACTTTTACGCTAAATATTTTTGTCTTGGCTCCATTGTATACTAATTTATCCTGCAGACGTGCACAGGCATAGTTTACAATTTGCACAGGACTCGTACGCAAGTGTTTTTTCGTTGTCTTCTCGAAAGCTGAAAGCGGGGACACTAATGTGGACACGTACACTTGTGGCTGTGTATTTCCACTAATCGCCTTTACCGCTGCATAACTGTCCAGTGCCAAGCCTTTAACTTCCAAAACTTCTATAATCAATCGACCTGCAGCCTTGCCAGTATTGACATCGACATCTACTCCGTACTTATTCTGCTGATTACTTGCGGTCAATGCGGCCACCTCTTGAGCGTACAGCAGATCATGCTCCAGCTGCACAGACTGAATTTCTAACGGAGACAATGCCACTTTTTCCCACATAAGCGAGTTTCCCAGGCTCATCGCCGAAGTCGGCGAGTCATGCGATGGCATAGCTTTTAGTGTTGATGGATAGAAATGATTCCATTTTTTGACCCGGTCCACCATCTGATATAACCGGTTACACTTAAGTTAGTGTCATCACTGATAATAAAATTTGTGACATAAACAATCGTCAATGTGCAAAACGCCGGGGCAATGCCAGATCCCCTTGTGACCAGTGTGACTCTGGAGGAAGCAAGCGAGTGTCCTCGAGTGATACACGTTGATCGTACGAAACTTCTAGAGCGCGCAAGCCTCACGCAGCGTCAACGTCGACGAGAAGAAAGCGAGGAGCGTCGACTGGGCAATCGGCAGTCTTCGTGGCTGTTTAACGGCACGAAGCGATCACGTGAAGAAACCTTGGAGCCGCCTTCGCCTTTTATCAATAATGTTGTGGTGAGCGCGAAGTATGGTGTCTGGAATTTCTTACCGCGAGTGCTCTTGGCACAGGTGAAGCGACCTTCAAACATGTATTTCCTGTTCATTGCGTTACTTCAGACTATCAAAGAAATCAGCAACACGAGTGGTATTCCTACAATCCTGTTACCGCTAGCGGTGGTTCTAGTGTGTAGTGCAATTAAAGAGGCCTTGGAGGATCGAGAGCGCCATCGCGCTGATCATGTGGCTAATAATCGACCAGTGATGATGCTGACTCCTCTGAACACTTGGGAGGAGCGACCATGGGGAGATTTGCGGGTGGGAGACATTGTCAAGGTAATGAAAGATCAAACTATACCAGCGGACTTGCTTTTGCTGTCAGTAAGTGGAGCAGGGCACGATGATGATGGAGAGAGTCAGCAACAATTACAAGCTGCGACCTCTGATACATTTCTTGGCTTGAACGATAAAGCTCAAGCAAACAAAAATTCAACTGAATCATCGATGTACGTGCTAGGGCTGCATAATGTTTCACAATTTTCGGGGAAGCATCAAGTAGAGTCTGATGTTGCATATATTGAGACTAAGTCTTTGGATGGTGAAACTAATTTAAAGATTCGCACAGTTGTTCCGCTGGTAGCAGACATATGTGGCGGAGCTAATCGCCAAAGTCACACTTTCGATGGTGGGAATCTCAACGCGCTTCGTGGCACGATGGTGTGTGAACAACCCAACAATAGATTGACGTCTTTTGAAGGAACTTTTTCAGTGATTTTAAACCCTACTCAAGCACAAACATTAAAAGAAAAGAGCCCACTATCGACCTCAGCGCCCTCTCCGGCCAAATATTTGCAAATTGAGGCTACTGACAATGGCTTTGCGTGTGTGCATGTACCAGTCACGGCAAAGCAAATGTTATTACGAAGCTGTGTGCTCCGCAACACACGTTCAGTCATCGGTATGGTAGTTTTCACAGGCCACGAGACAAAAGTCTTCTGCAGCAACACAGAGCCCGTTGTGAAGACCTCGTCAGTAGAGCGGCGGCTCAACAAACTTATCATCAACATCGTATTTCTCCAACAACTTGTTTGTTTTCTTGGTGCACTCTTTGGTGCCTACTGGATGTATAGCGGGGGTGCTTCGCTTTGGTACCTTGTCGATGCCTCCGAGCGTCGGCATCACAATTCAGCTAGCGTTTCTGCAACTCATCCTCTTGCTGAACTTGTCAAGCTGCACCTACGCTACTTTATTATCATGCAAAACTTTGTTCCCATCTCGCTCAATGTGTCGCTAGAGTTTGTAAAATACTGGCAAGCCTACTTCATCGAACAAGATCTGGAAATGTACGATAAGCAATTGGACGCACCGGCCATCGTCCGATCCTCCGCTTTAAACGAAGATCTTGGCCGTGTGCATCATATTTTTACAGACAAGACTGGCACTCTCACAATGAATCTTATGCTTTTTCGGTATTTAATGGTAGGACGAAAGCATTATGGCGGTCCCATTCAGGAAACTGAATTAAAGCCTAAACTTTCTAAGGAAATTGAGCAGGCTGGATTAGCGAAAGGCCCACGATTTGTAGATTTTGACCCGACTGAGCTCTTTGCCGACATTCTCGCGGGAGGGGAGCAGGCGAAAATGCTTCGTCATTTCTTACGGCACTTAGCTCTCTGCCATACATTGATACCTGCTAAATCGCTTGCTGAGATGTGCAGTACGTCATTTCCGGAGTATTCTGCATCATCACCTGACGAGCAAGCGCTTGTGTCTGCAGCTGCGTTTTGCAATGTCCGTTTCGTACACAGAACGTCCACTGCGATGATGCTCATGGAGCCAGGTTGGATAACACCTTGCACATACAAGTTGCTGAATGTGATCGAGTTTGAAAGTGACCGAAAGCGCATGAGTGTGATTGTAGAGACTCCGGACGGGAAAATTGAATTGCTGTGCAAAGGCGCGGATGATGTTATTTTTGAGCGGCTTGCGATGGATCAAGCGACAAAGTTTGGTGGTATGTCCTGCGAGCAAGCGTCGAATCAGCTCTCGTTGTATGCAAAGGCTGGAATGCGCACCTTATGCCTGGCTTATAAAAGTATTGCTCGACATGAATACGAGAAATGGAACGCTCGTTTTATGGAGGCACATGCTTCGATGGAAGATGTGGACAAGCGACGTCATGGTCGTGCGAATGCAATCGACCCGTTAATAAACGAAATTGAAGGCGATCTTGTGCTGCTTGGAATTACTGCAGTTCAAGATAAACTTCAGGCTGGGGTTCCCACGACGCTGCGGTTGCTACAAGAGACAAATATTAAGTTGTGGACTCTCACAGGCGATAAAATGGAAACTGCTGTCAACATTGGCTATGCAAGTGCGCTATTGTCTCATGATATGGATGTACGACAAATTGGAGGCACGGATTACACTTCCATTGCGGCAGCTTTACGAAAACTATCCAAGCCCAATGATCATAAAATTTCTTTTTCTAATCAGTCACAAATTCTAGCATCGCTGCCTTATACTAATGCGAAAGATAGCGAAAATAGTGAAATGCAGCGCGCGCGTAATGACGGACACAGCAAGTCCGCACAAACTAATCGTACCTTTGAAAGTGCGAGGGCAACAATCGGCAGGTTTTTGTTCAGAACAGTGGCAAAACTAGACCGACAGCCAAAATATCGACGCAATCGAGCGCCCAGGGCTTCATCATTATTTCCACAAACGCCTATGTACTCTTCGGTAGCGACTGATGCTGACTATCCAAATACGTCCCCATCTGACGAAGAATCCCAGTACAGTGTTGGGACTGAGGCTGATGACGAAGCACTTCGCTCACCCGCTTATGGGACGCTTAACGGAACCGGCGGAAGTCATCCCCAAAAAGATTTGCGATCGCAGAAGTTAGCGCTGGTGATTGACGGACAGTCTCTCGAGTATGCCCTTCACCCTCATTTGCGAGGTCTTTTTTATCAAGTCACACGGCAGTGCGCATCTGCGGTCATTTGCTGCCGTGTTTCACCCAAGCAGAAAGCTAATATTGTCAAATTAATTCGCGAATATGAGCCCGATAGTGTTACACTGGCAATCGGAGATGGAGCGAATGACGTAGCAATGATTCAGTCGGCTCACATTGGTGTGGGTATCTCTGGTCAGGAAGGAGCACAGGCTGTGAACGCATCTGACTATGCACTGGCTCAATTTCGCTTTCTGCAGAGATTATTGTTTGTACACGGTCGCTGGGCTTACCGCCGCGTAGCAAAACTTATGAGCTACATGCTTTATAAAAACGTGACGTATGTACTCACAACATTTTGGTTTGGATGCTTTTGTGGATTTTCCGGTCAACCTCTTATTCTAGACGTAGCTGCACAAAGTTTTAACGTGCTGTACACTAGTGTGCCGCTAGTACTTTTCGCCGTGCTTGATCAAGATGTATCGTCCGCAAGTGCAACGAAATTTCCACACTTGTATGCACTTGGTCAAAAAAATGTCTTGCTTGCTCGTCGCGTGTTTTGGCCGTGGATTTTGAATGGTGTGTGGCACTCGATTATTATCTTTTTCATCTCTGCTTGGGCATTTGCAGGTTACAGCCTTAGCAC